AAGTAATCGATTCATTAAAAGAGTCAAACGAGTAAACGGCAGCAACATTAGATATCAAAGGGACCTTCAGAGTTTGATGCATAGTCTATAAGCACATGAACAGTTCCGGCGATTTACATGTTGAAGAAAATAAAACATTATGAAAATCTATGAAATCCCGTGACTTCAAAACCCTATATTTTAACACTCTGTCTTCCTGTTTCAGAACTGTCAGAGTACCGTATCCGTAGCCTGCTTGGTCAACGATTTCGTTTAGGCAAAGTTCCTGCAAGGGGCTCGCACAGAAACCCTTGCTACGCACAGGTGAATACTCAAGAAAATAGTTGATACGTCGTAGCCGTCCGCGCTCATCATAAACTCATTATAAACTCTGTATTGGTGATCCTAAGAAGTTCGAATAAATGTTGAAGTTAGAAATTAAATACAGAATAGATGAAATTAATAAAATAATAAGTCACTCAAGGTAGGATATTTAATTTCACTTTCAGTTTCCCCGAAAGTTCCTTGATATTCAACGCCATAGCAGTACAGCTTCAGAGATTTGATGGCATCGCACTTTACTTTCGCACTTCTTTAATTATCTGACCACGTCTCGATTACAGACGGTAGTACCGCCGACGGAAAGGTGTTTCAAAACGTAAGTACATTTAAAGCCAAATTTACTCTGACTGGATTTTATTTCTGATTAAGTGTTTAGATCATGTTAGGCCTGTTAGATGTGCACGGAGATCAAGGGGTATTATGAATTTACCTCAGTTTCAGTGCAGTCTAAGGTGTGTTTCAGTGATTGACCGTTTTGAGCTAGTACTCCGTTGTTTTCGTGCGAACAAGTAAAAAGCCTCATTCAAGAAAGCACCCTATATACCTCGATCATACTCAGGGGAAGTCAAGTCAGTCAGCCGAAACTAGGTCGAATCTCACTTTCAATTTCGCTGAAAATTCCCTGATAAGTCAACGTTCTATAGCATTAGAATTTATTATTTGATCGCATTCCAGTTTAAGGCACCCTTCGAACGCCTCTAACAGACAACAGGACGGAAAATTTTGTGAAATCGCAAGTCCGCATTTTAGAAGCGAAAATTTTACGCCGTACTGATCAAATGCTACATGCGATGATGCTCACGTCGCAGTTTACTTTCGGCATGTCAGTGTCCATCAATATCCGATAAGAATACAGATCAGAAAAGATGTCTTAAAAACGTAAATAGAAGGATTTGAGGTAAAAAGTTACTCTGAAGTTCATCTCTCCGATCATTCAGATGCGCCCGCGACTATCAAGTAATGCCATGAACTTAGCAATTTCAGCAGCCTTCAGTGCTGGTAGAATACATTTTAGAACATGTTTCAACCTGTGATTGACGGGTGATTGACTGGTTTCCCTAAGAAATAGATTCATAAAAAGAGTCAAACGAGTAAACTGCATGCAACCACATTAGATATCAAAGGGGCCTTCATATCAGAGTTTGACGCATAGTCTATACGCATGAACAGTTCTGACGTTAATTTCAGTTTGAGTTTTCCCGAAAGTTCCTTGATTAGTCTACACCATAGCAGTCACCAGCTTGAGAGATTTGATGGCATCCCACTTTACTTTCGCACTTCTCTAATTATCTGACCACGTCTCGATTACAGACGATAAGAAGGCCGACGGAAAAGTGTTTAAAACCGTAAGTACATTTGAAGCCAAATTTACTCTGAATTTTATTTCTGATTAAGTGTTTAGATCATGTTAGGTCTGTTAGATATGCACGGAGATCAAGCGGTATTATGAATTTAGCAGTTTCAGTGCAGTCTAAGGTGTGTTTCAGTGATTGACCGTTTTGAGCTAGTATTCCGTTTCTTTTGAACCGTGCGAACAAGCTAGCAAAAATCCTCATTCAAGAAAGCACCCTCTATACGTCGATCATACTCCGAGGTAGTCAAGTCAGTAAACAGAAAGTAGGTTAATTTCAATTTCAATTTCGCTGAAAATTCCCTGATAAGTCAACGCTCTATAGCATTAAGATTTTATTATTTGCTCGCATTACAGTTTACCGTACCCTTCGAAGTCAACGCCTCTAACAGTACTAGGACGGAAAATTTTGTGAAATCGCAAGTTCGCATTTTGGAAGCGAAAATCCTACGCTGAACTGATCACATTGAAATGTTACATACGATGCTCACATCGCAGTTTACTTTCGGCACTTCAGCGTCCATGAATATCGATAAGAATACAGAACAGAAAAGATGTCTTAAAAACGTAAATACGAGTATTTGAGGTGAAAAGTTACCCTGAAGTTTATCTCTCTGATCATTCAGATGCGCCCTCGACGATCAAGTAATGCCATGAATTTAGTAATTTTAGCGGCCTTCAGTGCTGGTAGAATATATCAGGGGCACCCAACGACCGTTTACTGGGAAATATCTGTTCGGAGCCCTCTAGAATGGCTAAAATTTTCGAGAGAAGAAGAAGAAAAGTAAAGAAGGGCGAGAAGAGCCCCTGGGGACAATGTCGCCCCTGGGGACAATGTCTCCCCTGGGGACAATGTCGCCCCTGGCGACCGTTTGCAACTGGTCTGGTAAGACATTGTCCCCAGGTGCTCTTCTCGCCGTTCTTTACTTTTCTTCATGCCATATTTTTCCGTCCGTTTAGACTTTCCCTCGCCCCCACTATCTGCCCCTGGGTCTCCGAGGATGTTCCATCATACTCCGATGAAATCAAGTCAGTCACCCGAAACTAGGTTAATTTCACTTTCAGTTTCGCTGAAAATTCCCTGATAAGTCAACGCTCTATAGCATTAAGATTTATTATTTGATCGCATTCCAACGGCGCCCTTCGAACGCCTCTTACGACAATAGGACAGGAAAATTTTGTGAAATCGCAAGTTCGCCGTTTGGAAGTGAAAATTTTACGCTGAACTGATTAAATGTTACATGCGATGCTCACATCGCAGTTTACCTTCGGCACTCCAGTGTCCATGAATATCGATAAGAATACAGAACAGAAAAGATGTCTTAAAAACGTAAATGCGAGTATTTGAGGTGAAATGTTACTCTGAAGTTTATCTCTCTGATCATTCAGATGCGCCCTCGACGATCAATTAATGCCATGAACTTAGCAATTTCAGCGGCCTTCAGTGCTGGTAGTCAAGAATACATTAGAACATGTTTCAATCTGTGATTGACTGGCTTCCCTAAGAAATCTATTCATAAAAAGAGTCAGTCAAACGAGTAAACGGCAGCCACATTAGATATCAAAGGGACCTGCAGAGTTTGAACAGTTCTGGCGATTTACATATAGAAAGGAATAAAACCTTATGAAAATCTATGAAATCCCGTGACTTCAAAACTTCCATACTTTAACACGCTGTCTTCCTGTTTCAGAACTGTCAGAGTATCGTATCCGTAGCCTGCTTTAGTTTTGCCAAAGTTCGTGCTAGGGACTCGCACGGAAACCCTTGCTACGCACAGGTAAATATTCAAGAAAATAGTTCATATGTCGTAATTATAGAAGCACCGTATTTGTTGGGTAGCCAGCCGTCCGCGCTCATCATAAACTCATTACAAACTCTGGATCGGGGATCCAAAGAAGTTCGAATAAATGGTGGAGGGAGAAATCAAAAACAGAGTAAATGAATTTAATAAAATAATAATAATGATAACGATAATGATAATAATAATTCAAAGAAAATAACGATGAATTATTATAATTGGTAGTTCTGAGGGATGCAAGTTATGCAAGAAGGGTTTGCATGCTTGAGTTGAGTTTTCGGAGAACAAAGCTGATTTTAAAGATCAATTGACACTGATCATGATACACGAAGGTATTACTACAGAACGCGTTTTACAAGTCCAACGAATAACGGCATTATATATCAAGTGTCAGAGCTCTCATAATTATTTGGTCATAGTTGACCTAACGATTACTGGACTTCACGAGAACTTCGCAGAACTAACTGCACAGTGCACAGTTAGTTGACATGTGCATGTTTGCACCTGCCACTGGGTCAAGACTAGCCTCTAGTCTCTTTTTACAAAGGCGATTTGAAAAGATATACATCCTTGTAAAATACAAAATATGTCAATAAATGCAAAAATAATTGCCAATGAGGTTTTGATGCCCTGAACCAACCAACCATTAGCGCCTGTTAATTAGGGGGGACGAAGGCAGGTGGGGTGGAGGGGAAGGGGTTAAGAGTATATCTTTACCCAAGCTTGGACGTTGTGGTGCAGGGCTCAAAATAACGCCCGGCCAACAAACAATGTCCGGCCAAAATGATAATTATTCGCATAATACTGGAAATTACAAAAACGGGCCTGCTGTAATTGGCCTCAGCTGTTGCAGTGTCCCTGCCGACCCCTTTTTTAGTTTAATTACGTTTTCTTCTTTGTTTCTTCGGCGAGACTAATAAAATAAAATAAAAATAGTGAAACCAGTAGTTTAGGGCGCACCGAATAGACCCCATTTGTTGCGCAGGAATTTATTAACGCCGATGACGTCATAGAGTCATGACTCTCGGCGAGATACAATGTTTTCCTCACCTCACTTCCCCTCCTCCACATAAAAATTATTTGCCCTTTCTTACTTTAATTTTTATTTTCCCTTCCTCCCATCGACCTCACATCGACCCCCACATCGGACCATTATAACGAGAAGTCACAATAATGTATCGAGTTTTGATTGGCCCTTTTTTATATTCATCCCCGCGTTATATGTTTAATATCGAGTGCCTCCTGCGAAGAAACACGACGATCGTGAAAGAAAGCGTTGCAATAAGGAAATGTGCTCGCTCACGTGGAAATAAGCTGCGATTTATTTCCTAAAAACTGTAACTGCTGCATATTTTAGGTTTTGATACGTATAAAAGAGAAAAGCTAATCCTCAATTAGTTTATGCTGATTTTTCCATTGCTGTACTTTGACATATCAACGATCCCTGACTTGAAATAATTTCTGAAATAATCTAGATACCTGATTTTTCTTCTTTCGCGCATTTTTACTAGATCCTAAACATCCCAAACATGGAATACACTTGGGAACAATTAAACTATTTTAGAGCATGTTACATCGCCTTCAACTTAGTTCCCCAAGGGCTTCGAAAAGTCTTCAAACAAGAGTGGGATTTCCTCTACAAGACAACTCCGTTTGGGGAATGGAAAGATATTTCCCAAAACGGCCGCGATTTCGACAGCAAAGAATCACGAAAGAGTCACACAAAGAATGCGCGACTTTTGGCGACAATAAAAAGGGGAAACACGGCTGAGTGGGATTGCAGTTGCCTGTTTTTTGCTATTTTGTACTCGGATTGCATTGGCAGTACTCTTAGTACAGCAGTCAGAAAAGAAGTTGACGATCTCAGACAAGTTCGAAATGATATCGCTCACTTGAACGAGGTTGAACTTACTGATGCTGCATTCCATAATTATGTAGCGAGAGTGTTAGCTGCTTTTAATTCACTGAAGCTTCCAATAAATGAAGTTGATGATATCAAAAACCAGACAGACTTTCCAACAGCTGAAGTAAATAGCCTTAAAATGCAGGCTGATAAGCTTAGAGCTGACCTGAAAACCCAAAAACAAGAAAACAAAAATCTAACATCTGAATTACAATTGACTCAAGCCACATTACAGACAAAGCAGAACGAAGTGAAAACACTCGGCGAGGGTTTAAAAACCGTAGAAGAAGAAAACAGAAATCTAACCTCGGAATTACAATCGACCCAAGCCACATTACAGACAAAACATGAAGAAGTAGAAACTCTCACTCAGGAAATCAATTCCAAAGTCGAGTCTTTCTGTACTCTGACATTCAAGCCATCACATAAAATCATCAAACGATCAAGTGATGTCACAAGAATTATGACAAAACTGGACGAGCTTTACAACGAAAGTAATGGAGCTATCAGTACCATTTATCTATCAGGAATACCAGGCTGCGGAAAAAGCCAATTAGCTCGACAACTGGGACAGGACATTTTCGATAGGAGGTTGCATGAGATTGACAGTCTTATGTTCGTTGCAACCCTAAATGCAGAAACCCTAGATACACTTGCAGACTCCTATTCCAGTCTGGCAAGACATTTGGGAATAACAGAATACACTCTTACCAACCTCGAGACTTTTACAAAGGAGAACCCAAGAGAAAAAATCCAGTATCTGAAGCAAGTCATTTATCCAAAGACGAAGCAGTTCTCCAACTGGCTGATAATTGCAGATAATGTTGTTGACCTATCATTGGTTTGTAGGGATCTGCCTCCTACCGGTAGTGAAGAATGGGGCCATGGTCAGGTGCTAATAACTACTCAAGATAGCAGGTTAATACCCTCCAGTGCTCCACTTACTTACCATGAGTCTCTTAGCAATGGAATGCATCCCGATGACGCAGTGAACCTATTACGACAAGTATCTCAGATTCAGGATCAGAACCAAGATGAAAAAGTCGCTGAAGTTCTTGAGTATCAACCACTTGCTTTAGCAGCCGCTGCCTTTTATGTACAAACCATTGTGCTTAGTGGTTCTCCGAACTACCACTGGAAAGACTACTTGGAAGCACTTTCCCACGGCGAACGTGAAGCGACAGAAAAACTTCTTGCAAACCAGAACATAGCGTATTCCGAAGCAACAACTACTGCTATTCAAATGGCAATTATGAGAGCTTTAGAAAGTGATGACGTTCTTCGAGAAGTATTGTATTTGTTTTCTCTATGCGCACCTGAGTCTCTTCCGATGGAAGTTGCTGTTGACTTTGTTAAATTACGTATCACTGGGGAAACAGAAGAATTGATTAAAACTAAACTTTTCAAAGCCTCCTTATTGTCCTGTTCACACGACAAAGACGGCTCAGATACCTTTATAAGGATGCACAACATCGTTCATGAAGTGCTCAAGTCAATAACAACATCTAAAATTGACTCAACAGACAGAGTTCAGTGCATTTCTGATGTTATTGAGATCTTTCACTCTTTAATGGAGGAGAACATAAATCGGTTACATTCAAGTAGGCATATTTTTGCTAAGTTACGTGTAATTACGAGTCACTGTAAAGTATTACACGTAATTGTTAACACCGATTTCACTAAATCAAAAGTACTGCTAACTTCAATCAACCCTAGAAAGTTAGTTTCGTGGCTTTCTTTAGCCGCTAATGTTTGCTGTGACCTTAGTAACCCGTCGGATGCATATCGTTTTAGTACGTCAATCTGTAATTTTATACATTTTCTTAATGATTTCAAGGAAGACAAATTGTTAAGAGCGAACATATACAGCATACAAGGAAATGTTTACAGAGACCTTGGCCAGTACAGTGAAGCTAAAGAATACTATGAGAAGGCTCTCATCGTTAGAAAAGAGATTTACGGTGAAAAGCATGGTGACGTAGCTGCAAGTTACAACAATCTGGGAATTGTTTACAGTGACCTTGGCCAGTACAGTCAAGCTAAAGAATACTATGAGAAGGCTCTCATCATTCGAAAAGAGGTTTATGGTGAAAAGCATGGTGACGTAGCAGCAAGTTACAACAACCTGGGAATTGTTTACAGGGACCTTGGCCAGTACAGTGAAGCTAAAGAATACTATGAGAAGGCTCTCATCATTAAAAAAGAGGTTTACGGTGAAAAGCATGGTGACGTAGCAGCAAGTTACAACAACATGGGAATTGTTTACAGTGACCTTGGCCAGTACAGTGAAGCTAAAGAATACTATGAGAAGGCTCTCATCATTAGAAAAGAGATTTGCGGTGAAAAGCATGGTGACGTAGCTGCAAGTTACAACAACCTGGGAGCTGTTTACAAAGAGCTTGGCCAGTACAGCGAAGCTAAAGAATACTATGAGAAGGCTCTCATCATTAAAAAAAAGATTTACGGTGAAAAGCATGGTGACGTAGCTGCATGTTACAACAACCTGGGAATTGTTTACAAAGAGCTTGGCCAGTACAGCGAAGCTAAAGAATACTATGAGAAGGCTCTCATCATTAAAAAAAAGATTTACGGTGAAAAGCATGGTGACGTAGCAGGAACTTACAACAACCTGGGAATTGTTTACAGGCACCTTGGCCAGTACAGTGAAGCTAAAGAATACTGTGAGAAGGCTCTCATCATTAAAAAAAAGATTTACGGTGAAAAGCATGGTGACGTAGCAGCAAGTTACAACAACCTGGGAATTGTTTACAGTGACCTTGGCCAGTACAGTGAAGCTAAAGAATACTATGAGAAGGCTCTCATCATTAGAAAAGAGATTTACGGTGAAAAGCATGGTGACGTAGCAGCAAGTTACAACAACCTGGGAATTGTTTACATACAACAACTATGAAGGCTCTTGGCCAGAAGCTAAAGAATACTATGAGAAGGCTCTCATCATTTACGGTGAAATGGTGACGTAGCAGCAAGTACAACAACCTGGGAATTGTTTAAAGCATGGTGACGTGAAAAGCATGGTGACAAGTTACAACAACCTGGGAATTGTTTACAGGGACCTTGGCCAGTACAGTGAAGCTAAAGAATACTATGAGAAGGCTCTCATCATTCGAAAAGAGATTTACGGTGAAAAGCATGGTGACGTAGCAGCAAGTTACAACAACCTGGGAATTGTTTACAGTGACCTTGGCCAGTACAGTGAAGCTAAAGAATACTATGAGAAGGCTCTCATCATTAGAAAAGAGATTTACGGTGAAAAGCATGGTGACGTAGCAGCAAGTTACAACAACCTGGGAATTGTTTACAGGGACCTTGGCCAGTACAGTGAAGCTAAAGAATACTATGAGAAGGCTCTCATCATTCGAAAAGAGGTTTACGGTGAAAAGCATGGTGACGTAGCAGCAAGTTACAACAACCTGGGAATTGTTTACAGTGACCTTGGCCAGTACAGTGAAGCTAAAGAATACTATGAGAAGGCTCTCATCATTAGAAAAGAGATTTACGGTGAAAAGCATGGTGACGTAGCAGCAAGTTACAACAACCTGGGAATTGTTTACAGGGACCTTGGCCAGTACAGTGAAGCTAAAGAATACTATGAGAAGGCTCTCATCATTCGAAAAGAGGTTTGCGGTGAAAAGCATGGTGACGTAGCAGCAAGTTACAACAACCTGGGAATTGTTTACAGTGACCTTGGCCAGTACAGTGAAGCTAAAGAATACTATGAGAAGGCTCTCATCATTAGAAAAGAGATTTACGGTGAAAAGCATGGTGACGTAGCAGCAAGTTACAACAGCCTGGGAATTGTTTACAGGCACCTTGGCCAGTACAGTGAAGCTAAAGAATACTATGAGAAGGCCCTCATCATTAGAAAAGAGGTTTACAGTGAAAAGCATGGTGACGTAGCAGCAAGTTACAACAACCTGGGAATTGTTTACAGGGACCTTGGCCAGTACAGTGAAGCTAAAGAATACTATGAGAAGGCTCTCATCATTCGAAAAGAGGTTTACGGTGAAAAGCATGGTGACGTAGCAGCAAGTTACAACAGCCTGGGAATTGTTTACAATGACCTTTGCCAGTACAGTGAAGCTAAAGAATACTTTGAGAAGGCTCTCATCATTAGAAAAGAAATTTACGGTGATCAACATGCTTTGACTGAGCGAACGTTCCGCAACTTAAAGATAGTTGATAAGAGAAATAAGAGCTCGGACTGTTATTGCATTATTATCTAAGAAAAAAGGCCAAACAAGTAGAAAGTATATTTCCGTTATTATTTCAGTGATTTATTTATTGAGAACTTATTGAATAATTTGAGGACGTTCGGTGTATTCTTTTTTTTTCTTTTTGGTTGTTTGTTTAAATTTTTTTTTTGCATAAGAGCCTTTTTTAAGAAGTTTCAGCCACAGGTAACCCAGGCTCAGTGATAGTACCACAGCACGGTTCTAGTAAAATTACAGTGTTTGTACGGGGTAAAAATACGATCCTAAAATTTGTAGGAAATACTAAATATAAGTCAATGAAACTTACCCTGCAGTTAGTTGTTGTTGTCAGGTTGTTGTCCTTATTGCTCCAACGAAGTTTCCTGATAATTTGTTCAAATTCACTCTATATACAACTATAACATACAAGGTAGGAGACAAGAGATGCCATCTTCGCCGCCATGCTCTCATTCAACACAACTTTTTTTACGAAATTCGAACTCCAACAGAAATAAACATTCGAGGATCGTAGTAATAGGATAGCAGCAGATATAGAAACCAATGAAGCTTTCCGAGATAGAAAAACGAATCCCGCAGACTTTGACAAACTCGAAGGATGTAATCCAAAAAGGCCGAGAATATGCTCGTGGAAGTAGCCGGGCCAGATCAACGCGCGGCCAAGAAAATGAGGCCTGGGCACTGTACAAAAAAATCCATCCCGGGTGTCCTTGGTTGGTCTTTCTTGGGACTGATACATAGCTTTACCAAAGTTAGCCACCCCTGCTGGAAATACATTTGATCGAGGGCTATTGTTCACTTCAGACAAACGCGACTCGCCCAAGCAAACTACATGTTTCAATGCACGCGTCAAAATGAGAAAAAAGGAAACATGTAAAAGGTTTGCATTTTGCAATTTCTTTAACTCTCGGAAAATTCCAATTTTCAAAGCGCAAAACCTTAATTGACCACGACGACAGCGACAAGATAAACAACAAACACCAATTATGTAGATTAGCAAAACATCAGCTTGGAATGTGCATCACACTGGTACCATCACACTTAATTTGATTGTTTATTTAAAAAATGCGTGATGCTAGTGCTTTTCTCACATTTTCACGCGTGCACTGGAAAATGTAGTGCGCTTGGGCGAGTCGCGTTTGTCTCAAGTAAGCAATAGCCCTCGAGCAGATGTATTTCCAGCAAGACTCGCTATGATCCTGAATTTTAATATATCGAAAGTAGCATATTTGTCACGTCTGAGCACCGAAAGAGAGAAAATATTAACTTCCGGTTGCCATTTTTGACATTCAGGACTTCAACCTTCCAGTTGCCTATATACTAAGGCCCCTAATCAGTCTCTTGTATACCATATTTTTCTGCTCGGTATTGGCTTGATAACAGCTCCCAATTGTGAATTTTTGGAACTTGCTTAGATGGACAGCGGGAAGACCTAGAAATCACAGGATGGATTCCTGTACGTCTAAGATTTACCTCGGAGGTTTATTAGACTGGATAAAACAGACATCTTTTTAGAGAAATTTTAATGATGGGAACTGATCCCTATTGAATCGCGGAAGCTTCCAGTGGAGCAGTTTAAGGCTTTATCAAGGACTACATCATCTGGAAAGATTGTCAAAATTATTATGCTTTTAAAAAGCTTAGACAACTGTATCACAGCCCAACTTAACATTCTCACATTCTTAACTAAAAGTCAGGGTAATAATTTTTAGTACTCCATAGGAATTTTTCACTGGTCAGATTTATTTTCACAAGCAGTGTCTAGATCAAGAATATAAAACTTGATAAGGCAAAAAGTGCCGTATAAAACGCCAAACTCACAGATTCTGATGATGATGCTGCTGCTGATGATGATGACGATGACGATGATGACGACGACAAAGAACTTACATATTAGTAAATAGATTCTTTGTAGTCTGTTGGCTTTTGTCAACCCTAAAAACAAAAATGAACTTGTAAATATCAAAGTAAACAAATACCACCTCAAGAAAGATTTTTTTCATTAAGTGACTGACGGGACTGTGTTACTGACCGAAAAATCATCTTTCTCGTGTATTCATAGGGCTCAAACTTCATCATCACATCAACAACCATATACAACCTGATTTAACGCCCTTGAAAATAACAATGCGTATATCTAATACCTAAAACTGCAGTTACAAATATGCTTACTTACATTATGAAGCTCTGTTGTCAATATTTTTCAAAGGAGCTTAAACACAAACGCATTTGTCTTATCATCGTCGTCCACTGGCAATTTTTCTTTTGTAACAGTTTCCCAAATTCCTTCCATTTCCATCTCCTTCAGTTTATTTTCCCATTCCTCCATACACTGCTCTCTGATATCAAAGAAACGAAGACCCCCCTAATAGAATGTAAAACACAAAAGAGATTAGAGGTCTTAATAGTCAAGTTTTGGTTTCTACCGTTTGAGTCTATAAAAACAAATTCTTTGGTGTTATCATTCAAATGAAACTTCTTTGGCAGTACTTTCATAGGGTATGTGTTGTAGTTAATTTTTTATCTCAGGTAATTTTTGTTTTTCTTTAGTTATTGGGTATGATAATGTATGCTAACGAGGTTGAAACAAAGGAAAAATAAAAATTACCTGAGAGAAAAAATTAACTACAACATATGTATTTGTTTTTCAGCATTTTACAAAACGAAATTATTCAGTTGGATTTTGACTTTGGTCAACTTTGCCAGTGAAAGAAATAAAACGCTTTTCAGTGGCGGAACTAGGAGAGAGGCCTGGGAGAGACCCACCCCCTTATTTTCAGATCCACCAAAGGGCCCCAGGGACAGGCAGATTCTCCCCCCTCCCACACCTTATTTCAAGGTCCGGATGATCTGGGCCCCCTACTATCTGATCTTCTTTTGTGTCTTCTCTGGTTCTCGATCCTATATTCTATATCCAGTCTACTACATCAGGAATTCTGCGTTAATCACTCTACCTAAGACAGTCTAGACTGACACAGGATGAAACTGCCATCAAGTGTTTGGAAACGTTTTAGCTCAACATTACTACCATAAATTGGAATAGCAGGTTATGAAAAATTAACTGAGCCTCTCAAATTGAAATGACCTCATGTAAATGGCCATAACTGCGGCCATAACTACACGCAGGTTGATGTTACAACGTTGAATGTTCAACTGGAAATATTTAAGGTGTTGATGAAGGACGGAGAATTTGCCTGTTTTGATGACATTTTAGCCAAGATCAAGCAGCTTTCTAAAGCCGAAAAGTGTATGATAACTGAAATCATAACCCTATGTAAGCTTCGTCTTGTAAATCCAGCAATCAGTGCAGCAGGCGAGAGATCCTTTTCTTCTGCTCGGAGACTGAAAACGTGGCTACGCTCGACGATGACACAAACAAATTTAGCAATCTGACAATACTTAATACCCACAAGCAGAGAACAGACAAACTTTGTCTTATAGATGTTGCCAATGAGTTTGCAGCTCTCAATGAAAATCGAAAAAGCAACTTTGGCGCCTTTAAAGAATCCCACTTAAAAATGTACGGGTGACACTCATCCGTTGCGTCTGTTGGGTTTTGCTTAGAAGTTAGTCTATTCATTTAAATTTGGTCAAACGTGAAGGCCAGTTTGTTACTCGTTGTTTTATAAGAATTAAAAATGAACTTCAGTTTTGGCAGTTTTAGATCCATTTCTAGCCATTTCAGAAGACTTCAATTTCAAATTTTCCCGGGGGAGCCTGCCCCCGGACCCCCCTAGTTAGCTCACGCTACACTACACGTGTGTTTAAGTATGTAGTTTTCGGACTTCCTCATTACGATCCCTACCGTGTCCGTGAAAACAAACTTTTTTCGCTGAAGACAGAAAACAAAAAATAAAAAGGCGGGAAAAAATAAGCACGTGGTCAGCACTGCAATTAGCCGTTTTTCGTAAACGTAGTACTTCTCTGCAGCTCGTCACTCACGTGGTAAAAAACCATCAAGCTCGTGAGCAAGAGCTACAATCAGGGACAAAAGTAGTTGACACACTTGTTTAAAACGGGTGCTTTTAACAAACATTTAATTCATTTATTATTTCATTCCTTTTGAACGCCGTAAATCCCCCGACCCCCCGAATCAATGTTGTCTGAAGTAAAAAAAAGACTTGAGGGTCCAAAATTCAACATTGATTTTGGGGGGAAGGGGTTGGGGTAGACAGAGGAAGGGGATAAGTATATCCACTATGCAAAAAGGGGCCATTTTACGGAAGTGTGTCAACACTTTTGTCCCTCATTGTCTGAATGCAAAATTGTGCTACTGCACACAAGTTGAGCCGTGTATGACATTGATTTTAACTGAAATTAAAGGAATCAATGACATAATTATGTTATTGGTGGTGGGGGTGACATTGACTTATTCACGACCGAATTATAGGGCCAATTCCAATTACGTGATGACGTAATAAAGGGGCTGCGATATCCAGAATAAACGTCGTTATGGTTTACATGCTAAAAACTGACGCTGAAACTCGCACACATGTACAACTTTTGATGAATTTCAAGGGTATGCGTACTGAAAATGTTTTTAATAAAGTGAATATTTCTCGTTCTTCACTTTATCCGGTTGTTAAGGCGCAAACAATCACGGGTAGGGTAAGGATTGACACGTAGTGGAGATAGTCACTGGCCAGTCACGGAAATATGGAACGTTAGTGAAGAGCGGCCGTCACTGCGTTCAATATCGAAACTACGGAAAAGTGAAGGTAAATTCATGGCCAATTCAATAAAAAACTAAGGACTGCGTAGCAAACATTGCAAGTGTACACGAAAACAATTACTTTCAATCCCACCTCGTGACACCCTGTGTGACATGATAACGCAACGTAAATAGCGTGACATGAGCGCATATGTCTGTGTATTTGGACTGCATTTCTCAAGCGAAACCCTGTGTTGTTGTCTATTGTCGGGAGACAAAATGAAAAGAGAGCTTTGAAACGTGAACTGGTATTTGACTCTCAAAGAAAACGACAGCTCAAACTGAGGAAAACACTGCTTCCTTCGTGTTACAACGGTTAACCAAGTTTCGGCAAACGGAAAGTAACATATTAAGTCTGTTATGACCTCTTAATGTCGATATGTATTCTCGTGGTTAACCGTTGAAACTCCTTATTTGCACCACATCGCTGGAATTTTTCTCGCCAAGAATACGTATTGCGAAGCACTTTCTACATAGCGGAATCTTCTTTTGCCTTTTGTGAGGAATTAGCGCATAAAAAAGGAAGATTTTCCAGAGCACGGCCGTCATCGATCACGTGTTATCCCGCTTTCCTTGTCATCAAGTGAACTTCTGGGCCAAAGTAATTGCTGTTTTGGCGATGATACAAACTGGTGTGTCTATCTTGAAAACAATTTCTTTGGTATTCTGTGATTTACGAGCTGGGAAATGAAATAGTTGTCCACCCAACACCAATAAAAAAAATGCCACTGAATAAATGGCAGGCGGTCATCTAGAATCATTACAAAAGTACATTCCTAACCTGGTCTAACCTGTTCGACGCCTACACACGCTAAAGGTTTGGATCTGCTAGATTTGAAAAGGTCTCCAAAAAAAAATCATTTCTTTATAGGGCATAGCACAAACGACTGGCTCATCATTTATGAGGTTCATAACCTGTATATTGTTCACGTCCTTTCACTAATGGCAAAAGTCAATGTAAACAATAATGCATGTTGCAGTACTTCATTCGCTTCAGTTAACCATTTTCCAGAACAATTTTCATTGTACCTTAGTGTTTCCATCCTTTTTCCACTATTGATAATGCTTGTAAAAAAATTATATCCGCAGCAGCGGCATTGATCACAACACAAGTGATTTCCTCTCGACCTGACAGGGTATCAGGAACGCGCGCGGGAGTACAAGATTAAGTAATGACATACGCTTCGTACATTTTACTCTACGTATACTACAAATCAGGACCAAACTTTTCAAATTGTTGTTTATAAACAAACAATTTGGTCCATAGAGTAACGTCATCGCACAAAAATTCAGCAGCGTCCGAAATCTAGCCGGAAAACACAGATACATATTTCAGACAATCAGGGACAAAAGTAGTTGACACACTTGTTTAAAACGGGTGCTTTTAACAAACATTTAATTCATTTATTATTTCATTCCTTTTAAACGCCGTAAATCCCCCGACCCCCCGAATCAATGTTGTCTGAAGTAAAAAAAAGACTTGAGGGTCCAAAATTCAACATTGATTTTGGGGGGAAGGGGTTGGGGTAGACAGGGGAAGGGGATAAGTATATCCACTATGCAAAAAGGGGCCATTTTACGGAAGTGTGTCAACACTTTTGTCCCTCATTGTCTGAATGCAAAATTGTGCTACTGCACACAAGTTGAGCCGTGTATGACATTGATTTTAACTGAAATTAAAGGAATCAATGACATAATTATGTTATTGGTGGTGGGGGTGACATTGACTTATTCACGACCGAATTATAGGGCCAATTCCAATTACGTGATGACGTAATAAAGGGGCTGCGATATCCAGAATAAACGTCGTTATGGTTTACATGCTAAAAACTGACGCTGAAACTCGCACACATGTACAACTTTTGATGAATTTCAAGGGTATGCGTACTGAAAATGTTTTTAATAAAGTGAATATTTCTCGTTCTTCACTTTATCCGGTTGTTAAGGCGCAAACAATCACGGGTAGGGTAAGGATTGACACGTAGTGGAGATAGTCACTGGCCAGTCACGGAAATATGGAACGTTAGTGAAGAGCGGCCGTCACTGCGTTCAATATCGAAACTACGGAAAAGTGAAGGTAAATTCATGGCCAATTCAATAAAAAACTAAGGACTGCGTAGCAAACATTGCAAGTGTACACGAAAACAATTACTTTCAATCCCACCTCGTGACACCCTGTGTGACATGATAACGCAACGTAAATAGCGTGACATGAGCGCATATGTCTGTGTATTTGGACTGCATTTCTCAAGCGAAACCCTGTGTTGTTGTCTATTGTCGGGAGACAAAATGAAAAGAGAGCTTTGAAACGTGAACTGGTATTTGACTCTCAAAGAAAACGACAGCTCAAACTGAGGAAAACACTGCTTCCTTCGTGTTACAACGGTTAACCAAGTTTCGGCAAACGGAAAGTAACATATTAAGTCTGTTATGACCTCTTAATGTCGATATGTATTCTCGTGGTTAACCGTTGAAACTCCTTATTTGCACCACATCGCTGGAATTTTTCTCGCCAAGAATACGTATTGCGAAGCACTTTCTACATAGCGGAATCTTCTTTTGCCTTTTGTGAGGAATTAGCGCATAAAAAAGGAAGATTTTCCAGAGCACGGCCGTCATCGATCACGTGTTATCCCGCTTTCCTTGTCATCAAGTGAACTTCTGGGCCAAAGTAATTGCTGTTTTGGCGATGATACAAACTGGTGTGTCTATCTTGAAAACAATTTCTTTGGTATTCTGTGATTTACGAGCTGGGAAATGAAATAGTTGTCCACCCAACACCAATAAAAAAAATGCCACTGAATAAATGGCAGGCGGTCATCTAGAATCATTACAAAAGTACATTCCTAACCTGGTCTAACCTGTTCGACGCCTACACACGCTAAAGGTTTGGATCTGCTAGATTTGAAAAGGTCTCCAAAAAAAAATCATTTATTTATAGGGCATAGCACAAACGACTGGCTCATCATTTATGAGGTTCATAACCTGTATATTGTTCACGTCCTTTCACTAATGGCAAAAGTCAATGTAAACAATAATGCATGTTGCAGTACTTCATTCGCTTCAGTTAACCATTTACCAGAACAATTTTCATTGTACCTTAGTGTTTCCATCCTTTTTCCACTATTGATAATGCTTGTAAAAAAATTATATCCGCAGCAGCGGCATTGATCACAACACAAATCATTTCGTCTCGACCCGACAGGGTATCAGGAACGCGCGCGGGAGTACAAGATTAAGTAATGACAAACGCTTCGTACATTTTACTCTACGTATACTACAAATCAGGACGAAACTCTATAAATTGATGTTTAAAAACAAAAAATTCGGCCCATAGAGTAACGTCATCGCACAAAAATTCAGCAGCGTCAAAAATCTAGCCGCAAAAACACAGATACATATTTCAGACAATCAGGGACAAAAGTAGTTGACACACTTGTTTAAAACGGGTGCTTTTAACAAACATGTAATTTATTTATTATTTCATTTCTTTTAAACACCGTAAATCCCCCGACCCCCCGAATCAATGTTGTCTGAAGTTAAAAAAAAGACTTCACGGTCCAAAATTCAACATTGATTTTGGGGGGAAGGGGTTGGGGTAGACATGGAGAGGGGATAAGTATATACACTATGCAAAAAGGGGCCATTCTACGGAAGTGTGTCAACACTTTTGTCCCTCATTGTCTGAATGCAAAATTGTGCTACTGCACACAAGTTGAGCCGTGTATGACATTGATTTTAACTGAAATTAAAGGAATCAATGACATAATTATGTTATTGGTGGTGGGGTGACATTGACTTATTCACGACCGAATTATAGGGCCAATTCAATTACGTGATGACGTAATAAAGGGGCTGCGATATCCAGAATAAACGTCGTTATGGTTTACATGCTAAAAACTGACGCTGAAACTCGCACACATGTACAACTTTTGATGAATTTCAAGGGTATGCGTACTGAAAATGTTTTTAATAAAGTGAATATTTCTCGTTCTTCACTTTATCCGGTTGTTAAGGCGCAAACAATCACGGGTAGGGTAAGGATTGACACGTAGTGGAGATAGTCACTGGCCAGTCACGGAAATATGGAACGTTAGTGAAGAGCGGCCGTCACTGCGTTCAATATCGAAACTACGGAAAAGTGAAGGTAAATTCATGGCCAATTCAATAAAAATACTAAGGACTGCGTAGCAAACATTGCAAGTGTACACGAAAACAATTACTTTCAATCCCACCTCGTGACACCCTGTGTGACATGATAACGCAACGTAAATAGCGTGACATGAGCGCATATGTCTGTGTATTTGGACTGCATTTCTCAAGCGAAACCCTGTGTTGTTGTCTATTGTCGGGAGACAAAATGAAAAGAGAGCTTTGAAACGTGAACTGGTATTTGACTCTCAAAGAAAACGACAGCTCAAACTGAGGAAAACACTGCTTCCTTCGTGTTACAACGGTTAACCAAGTTTCGGCAAACGGAAAGTAACATATTAAGTCTGTTATGACCTCTTAATGTCGATATGTATTCTCGTGGTTAACCGTTGAAACTCCTTATTTGCACCACATCGCTGGAATTTTTCTCGCCAAGAATACGTATTGCGAAGCACTTTCTACATAGCGGAATCTTCTTTTGCCTTTTGTGAGGAATTAGCGCATAAAAAAGGAAGATTTTCCAGAGCACGGCCGTCATCGATCACGTGTTATCCCGCTTTCCTTGTCATCAAGTGAACTTCTGGGCCAAAGTAATTGCTGTTTTGGCGATGATACAAACTGGTGTGTCTATCTTGAAAACAATTTCTTTGGTATTCTGTGATTTACGAGCTGGGAAATGAAATAGTTGTCCACCCAACACCAATAAAAAAAATGCCACTGAATAAATGGCAGGCGGTCATCTAGAATCATTACAAAAGTACATTCCTAACCTGGTCTAACCTGTTCGACGCCTACACACGCTAAAGGTTTGGATCTGCTAGATTTGAAAAGGTCTCCAAAAAAAAATCATTTATTTATAGGGCATAGCACAAACGACTGGCTCATCATTTATGAGGTTCATAACCTGTATATTGTTCACGTCCTTTCACTAATGGCAAAAGTCAATGTAAACAATAATGCATGTTGCAGTACTTCATTCGCTTCAGTTAACCATTTACCAGAACAATTTTCATTGTACCTTAGTGTTTCCATCCTTTTTCCACTATTGATAATGCTTGTAAAAAAATTATATCCGCAGCAGCGGCATTGATCTAACACAAGTGATTTCCTCTCGACCTGACAGGGTATCAGGAACGCGCGCGGGAGTACAAGATTAAGTAATGACATACGCTTCGTACATTTTACTCTACGTATACTACAAATCAGGACCAAACTTTTCAAATTGTTGTTTATAAACAAACAATTTGGTCCATAAATAACGTCATCGCACAAAAATTCAGCAGCGTCCGAAATCTAGCCGGAAAACACAGATACATATTTCAGACAATCAGGGACAAAAGTAGTTGACACACTTGTTTAAAACGGGTGCTTTTAACAAACATTTAATTCATTTATTATTTCATTCCTTTTAAACGCCGTAAATCCCCCGACCCCCCGAATCAATGTTGTCTGAAGTAAAAAAAAGACTTGAGGGTCCAAAATTCAACATTGATTTTGGGGGGAAGGGGTTGGGGTAGACAGGGAAGGGATAAGTATATCCACTATGCAAAAGGGGCCATTTTACGGAAGTGTGTCAACACTTTTGTCCCTCATTGTCTGAATGCAAAATTGTGCTACTGCACACAAGTTGAGCCGTGTATGACATTGATTTTAACTGAAATTAAAGGAATCAATGACATAATTATGTTATTGGTGGTGGGGGTGACATTGACTTATTCACGACCGAATTATAGGGCCAATTCCAAATTACGTGATGACGTAATAAAGGGGCTGCGATATCCAGAATAAACGTCGTTATGGTTTACATGCTTAAAAACTGACGCTGAAACTCGCACACATGTACAACTTTTGATGAATTTCAAGGGTATGCGTACTGAAAATGTTTTTAATAAAGTGAATATTTCTCGTTCTTCACTTTATCCGGTTGTTAAGGCGCAAACAATCACGGGTAGGGTAAGGATTGACACGTAGTGGAGATAGTCACTGGCCAGTCACGGAAATATGGAACGTTAGTGAAGAGCGGCCGTCACTGCGTTCAATATCGAAACTACGGAAAAGTGAAGGTAAATTCATGGCCAATTCAATAAAAAACTAAGGACTGCGTAGCAAACATTGCAAGTGTACACGAAAACAATTACTTTCAATCCCACCTCGTGACACCCTGTGTGACATGATAACGCAACGTAAATAGCGTGACATGAGCGCATATGTCTGTGTATTTGGACTGCATTTCTCAAGCGAAACCCTGTGTTGTTGTCTATTGTCGGGAGACAAAATGAAAAGAGAGCTTTGAAACGTGAACTGGTATTTGACTCTCAAAGAAAACGACAGCTCAAACTGAGGAAAACACTGCTTCCTTCGTGTTACAACGGTTAACCAAGTTTCGGCAAACGGAAAGTAACATATTAAGTCTGTTATGACCTCTTAATGTCGATATGTATTCTCGTGGTTAACCGTTGAAACTCCTTATTTGCACCACATCGCTGGAATTTTTCTCGCCAAGAATACGTATTGCGAAGCACTTTCTACATAGCGGAATCTTCTTTTGCCTTTTGTGAGGAATTAGCGCATAAAAAGGAAGATTTTCCAGAGCACGGCCGTCATCGATCACGTGTTATCCCGCTTTCCTTGTCATCAAGTGAACTTCTGGGCCAAAGTAATTGCTGTTTTGGCGATGATACAAACTGGTGTGTCTATCTTGAAAACAATTTCTTTGGTATTCTGTGATTTACGAGCTGGGAAATGAAATAGTTGTCCACCCAACACCAATAAAAAAAAATGCCACTGAATAAATGGCAGGCGGTCATCTAGAATCATTACAAAAGTACATTCCTAACCTGGTCTAACCTGTTCGACGCCTACACACGCTAAAGGTTTGGATCTGCTAGATTTGAAAAGGTCTCCAAAAAAAAAATCATTTATTTATAGGGCATAGCACAAACGACTGGCTCATCATTTATGAGGTTCATAACCTGTATATTGTTCACGTCCTTTCACTAATGGCAAAAGTCAATGTAAACAATAATGCATGTTGCAGTACTTCATTCGCTTCAGTTAACCATTTACCAGAACAATTTTCATTGTACCTTAGTGTTTCCATCCTTTTCCACTATTGATAATGCTTGTAAAAAAAATTATATCCGCAGCAGCGGCATTGATCACAACACAAGTGATTTCCTCTCGACCTGACAGGGTATCAGGAACGCGCGGGAGTACAAGATTAAGTAATGACATACGCTTCGTACATTTTACTCTACGTATACTACAAATCAGGACCAAACTTTTCAAATTGTTGTTTATAAACAAACAATTTGGTCCATAAATAACGTCATCGCACAAAAATTCAGCAGCGTCCGAAATCTAGCCGGAAAACACAGATACATATTTCAGACAATCAGGGACAAAAGTAGTTGACACACTTGTTTAAAACGGGTGCTTTTAACAAACATTTAATTCATTTATTATTTCATTCCTTTTAAACGCCGTAAATCCCCCGACCCCCGAATCAATGTTGTCTGAAAAAAAAAGACTTGAGGGTCCAAAATTCAACATTGATTTTGGGGGAAGGGGTTGGGGTAGACAGGGGAAGGGGATAAGTATATCCACTATGCAAAAAGGGGCCATTTTACGGAAGTGTGTCAACACACTTTTTGTCCCTCATTGTCTGAATGCAAAATTGTGCTACTGCACACAAGTTGAGCCGTGTATGACATTGATTTTAACTGAAATTAAAGGAATCAATGACATAATTATGTTATTGGTGGTGGGGTGACATTGACTTATTCACGACCGAATTATAGGGCCAATTCCAATTACGTGATGACGTAATAAAGGGGCTGCGATATCCAGAATAAACGTCGTTATGGTTTACATGCTTAAAACTGACGCTGAAACTCGCACACATGTACAACTTTTGATGAATTTCAAGGGTATGCGTACTGAAAATGTTTTTAATAAAGTGAATATTTCTCGTTCTTCACTTTATCCGGTTGTTAAGGCGCAAACAATCACGGGTAGGGTAAGGATTGACACGTAGTGGAGATAGTCACTGGCCAGTCACGGAAATATGGAACGTTAGTGAAGAGCGGCCGTCACTGCGTTCAATATCGAAACTACGGAAAAGTGAAGGTAAATTCATGGCCAATTCAATAAAAAACTAAGGACTGCGTAGCAAACATTTGCAAGTGTACACGAAAACAATTACTTTCAATCCCACCTCGTGACACCCTGTGTGACATGATAACGCAACGTAAATAGCGTGACATGAGCGCATATGTCTGTGTATTTGGACTGCATTTCTCAAGCGAAACCCTGTGTTGTTGTCTATTGTCGGGAGACAAAATGAAAAGAGAGCTTTGAAACGTGAACTGGTATTTGACTCTCAAAGAAAACGACAGCTCAAACTGAGGAAAACACTGCTTCCTTCGTGTTACAACGGTTAACCAAGTTTCGGCAAACGGAAAGTAACATATTAAGTCTGTTATGACCTCTTAATGTCGATATGTATTCTCGTGGTTAACCGTTGAAACTCCTTATTTGCACCACATCGCTGGAATTTTTCTCGCCAAGAATACGTATTGCGAAGCACTTTCTACATAGCGGAATCTTCTTTTGCCTTTTGTGAGGAATTAGCGCATAAAAAAGGAAGATTTTCCAGAGCACGGCCGTCATCGATCACGTGTTATCCCGCTTTCCTTGTCATCAAGTGAACTTCTGGGCCAAAGTAATTGCTGTTTTGGCGATGATACAAACTGGTGTGTCTATCTTGAAAACAATGTCTTTGGTATTCTGTGATTTACGAGCTGGGAAATGAAATAGTTGTCCACCCAACACCAATAAAAAAAATGCCACTGAATAAATGGCAGGCGGTCATCTAGAATCATTACAAAAGTACATTCCTAACCTGGTCTAACCTGTTCGACGCCTACACACGCTAAAGGTTTGGATCTGCTACAATGAGGGACAAAAGTGTTGACACACTTCCGTAAAATGGCCCCTTTTTGCATAGTGGATATACTTATCCCCTTCCCCTGTCTACCCCAACCCCTTCCCCCCAAAATCAATGTTGAATTTTGGACCCTCAAGTCTTTTTTTTACTTCAGACAACATTGATTCGGGGGGTGAGGGGATTTACGGCGTTTAAAAGGAATGAAATAATAAATGAATTAAATGTTTGTTAAAAGCACCCGTTTTAAACAAGTGTGTCAACTACTTTTGTCCCTGATTGTCTGAAATATGTATCTGTGTTTTCCGGCTAGATTTCGGACGCTGCTGAATTTTTGTGCGATGACGTTACTCTATGGACCAAATTGTTTGTTTATAAACAACAATTTGAAAAGTTTGGTCCTGATTTGTAGTATACGTAGAGTAAAATGTACGAAGCGTATGTCATTACTTAATCTTGTACTCCCGCGCGCGTTCCTGATACCCTGTCAGGTCGAGAGGAAATCACTTGTGTTGTGATCAATGCCGCTGCTGCGGATATAATTTTTTTACAAGCATTATCCATAGTGGAAAAAGGATGGAAACACTAAGGTACAATGAAAATTGTTCTGGTAAATGGTTAACTGAAGCGAATGAAGTACTGCAACATGCATTATTGTTTACATTGACTTTTGCCATTAGTGAAAGGACGTGAACAATATACAGGTTATGAACCTCATAAATGATGAGCCAGTCGTTTGTGCTATGCCCTATAAATAAATGATTTTTTTTTGGAGACCTTTTCAAATCTACAATCAGGGACAAAAGTAGTTGACACACTTGTTTAAAACGGGTGCTTTTAACAAACATTTAATTCATTTATTATTTCATTCCTTTTAAACGCCGTAAATCCCCCCACCCCCCGAATCAATGTTGTCTGAAGTAAAAAAAGACTTGAGGGTCCAAAATTCAACATTGATTTTGGGGGGAAGGGGTTGGGGTAGACAGGGGAAGGGGATAAGTATATCCACTATGCAAAAAGGGGCCATTTTACGGAAGTGTGTCAACACTTTTGTCCCTCATTGTCTGAATGCAAAATTGTGCTACTGCACACAAGTTGAGCCGTGTATGACATTGATTTTAACTGAAATTAAAGGAATCAATGACATAATTATGTTATTGGTGGTGGGGGTGACATTGACTTATTCACGACCGAATTATAGGGCCAATTCCAATTACGTGATGACGTAATAAAGGGGCTGCGATATCCAGAATAAACGTCGTTATGGTTTACATGCTAAAAACTGACGCTGAAACTCGCACACATGTACAACTTTTGATGAATTTCAAGGGTATGCGTACTGAAAATGTTTTTAATAAAGTGAATATTTCTCGTTCTTCACTTTATCCGGTTGTTAAGGCGCAAACAATCACGGGTAGGGTAAGGATTGACACGTAGTGGAGATAGTCACTGGCCAGTCACGGAAATATGGAACGTTAGTGAAGAGCGGCCGTCACTGCGTTCAATATCGAAACTACGGAAAAGTGAAGGTAAATTCATGGCCAATTCAATAAAAAACTAAGGACTGCGTAGCAAACATTGCAAGTGTACACGAAAACAATTACTTTCAATCCCACCTCGTGACACCCTGTGTGACATGATAACGCAACGTAAATAGCGTGACATGAGCGCATATGTCTGTGTATTTGGACTGCATTTCTCAAGCGAAACCCTGTGTTGTTGTCTATTGTCGGGAGACAAAATGAAAAGATAGCTTTGAAACGTGAACTGGTATTTGACTCTCAAAGAAAACGACAGCTCAAACTGAGGAAAACACTGCTTCCTTCGTGTTACAACGGTTAACCAAGTTTCGGCAAACGGAAAGTAACATATTAAGTCTGTTATGACCTCTTAATGTCGATATGTATTCTCGTGGTTAACCGTTGAAACTCCTTATTTGCACCACATCGCTGGAATTTTTCTCGCCAAGAATACGTATTGCGAAGCACTTTCTACATAGCGGAATCTTCTTTTGCCTTTTGTGAGGAATTAGCGCATAAAAAGGAAGATTTTCCAGAGCACGGCCGTCATCGATCACGTGTTATCCCGCTTTCCTTGTCATCAAGTGAACTTCTGGGCCAAAGTAATTGCTGTTTTGGCGATGATACAAACTGGTGTGTCTATCTTGAAAACAATTTCTTTGGTATTCTGTGATTTACGAGCTGGGAAATGAAATAGTTGTCCACCCAACACCATAAAAAAAAAATGCCACTGAATAAATGGCAGGCGGTCATCTAGAATCATTACAAAAGTACATTCCTAACCTGGTCTAACCTGTTCGACGCCTACACACGCTAAAGGTTTGGATCTGCTAGATTTGAAAAGGTCTCCAAAAAAAATCATTTCTTTATAGGGCATAGCACAAACGACTGGCTCATCATTTATGAGGTTCATAACCTGTATATTGTTCACGTCCTTTCACTAATGGCAAAAGTCAATGTAAACAATAATGCATGTTGCAGTACTTCATTCGCTTCAGTTAACCATTTTCCAGAACAATTTTCATTGTACCTTAGTGTTTCCATCCTTTTTCCACTATTGATAATGCTTGTAAAAAAATTATATCCGCAGCAGCGGCATTGATCACAACACAAGTGATTTCCTCTCGACCTGACAGGGTATCAGGAACGCGCGCGGGAGTACAATATTAAGTAATGACATACGCTTCGTACATTTTACTCTACGTATACTACAAATCAGGACCAAACTTTTCAAATTGTTGTTTATAAACAAACAATTTGGCCCATAGAGTAACGTCATCGCACAAAAATTCAGCAGCGTCCAAAATCTACCCGGAAAACACAGATACATATTTCAGACAATCAGGGACAAAAGTAGTTGACACACTTGTTTAAAACGGGTGCTTTTAACAAACATTTAAGTCATTTATTATTTCATTCCTTTTAAACGCCGTAAATCCCCCGACCCCACGAATCAATGTTGTCTGAAGTAAAAAAAGACTTGAGGGTCCAAAATTCAACATTGATTTTGGGGGGAAGAGGTTGGGGTTGACAGAGGAAGGGGATAAGTATATCCACTATGCAAAAAGGGACCATTTTACGGAAGTGTGTCAACACTTTTGTCCCTCATTGTCTGAATGCAAAATTGTGCTACTGCACACAAGTTGAGCCGTATATGACACTGATTTTAACTGAAATTAAATGAATCAATGACATAATTATGTTATTGGTGATGGGGTGACATTGACTTATTCACGACCGAATTATAGGGCCAATTCAATTACGTGATGACGTAATAAAGGGGCTGCGATATCCAGAATAAACGTCGTTATGGTTTACATGCTAAAACTGACGCTGAAACTCGCACACATGTACAACTTTTGATGAATTTCAAGGGTATGCGTACTGAAAATGTTTTTAATAAAGTGAATATTTCTCGTTCTTCACTTTATCCGGTTGTTAAGGCGCAAACAATCACGGGTAGGGTAAGGATTGACACGTAGTGGAGATAGTCACTGGCCAGTCACGGAAATATGGAACGTTAGTGAAGAGCGGCCGTCACTGCGTTCAATATCGAAACTACGGAAAAGTGAAGGTAAATTCATGGCCAATTCAATAAAAACTAAGGACTGCGTAGCAAACATTGCAAGTGTACACGAAAACAATTACTTTCAATCCCACCTCGTGACACCCTGTGTGACATGATAACGCAACGTAAATAGCGTGACATGAGCGCATATGTCTGTGTATTTGGACTGCATTTCTCAAGCGAAACCCTGTGTTGTTGTCTATTGTCGGGAGAGAAAATTAAAAGAGAGCTTTGAAACGTGAACTGGTATTTGACTCTCAAAGAAAACGACAGCTCAAACTGAGGAAAACACTGCTTCCTTCGTGTTACAACGGTTAACCAAGTTTCGGCAAACGGAAAGTAACATATTAAGTCTGTTATGACCTCTTAATGTCGATATGTATTCTCGTGGTTAACCGTTGAAACTCCTTATTTGCACCACATCGCTGGAATTTTTCTCGCCAAGAATACGTATTGCGAAGCACTTGCTACATAGCGGAATCTTCTTTTTCCTTTTTAGCGCATAAAAAAGGAAGATTTTCCAGAGCACGGCCGTCATCGATCACGTGTTATCCCGCTTTCCTTATCATCAAGTGAACTTCTGGGCCAAAGTAATTGCTGTTTTGGCGATGATACAAACTGGTTTGTCTATCTTGAAAACAATTTCTTTGGTATTCTGTGATTTACGAGCTGGGAAATGAAATAGTTGTCCACCCAACACCAATAAAAAAAAATGCCACTTAATAAATGGCAGGCGGTCATCTAAAATCATTACAAAAGTACATTCCTAACCTGGTCTAACCTGTTCGACGCCTACACACGCTAAAGGTTTGGATCTGCTAGATTTGAAAAGGTCTCCAAAAAAAAATCATCTATTTATAGGGCATAGCACAAACGACTGGCTCATCATTTATGAGGTTCATAACCTGTATATTGTTCACGTCCTTTCACTAATGGCAAAAGTCAATGTAAACAATAATGCATGTTGCAGTACTTCATTCGCTTCAGTTAACCATTTACCAGAACAATTTTCATTGTACCTTAGTGTTTCCATCCTTTTTCCACTATTGATAATGCTTGTAAAAAAATTATATCCGCAGCAGCGGCATTGATCACAACACAAGTGATTTCCTCTCGACCTGACAGGGTATCAGGAACGCGCGCGGGAGTACAAGATTAAGTAATGACATACGCTTCGTACATTTTACTCTACGTATACTACAAATCAGGACCAAACTTTTCAAATTGTTGTTTATAAACAAACAATTTGGTCCATAGAGTAACGTCATCGCACAAAAATTCAGCAGCGTCCGAAATCTAGCCGGAAAACACAGATACATATTTCAGACAATCAGGGACAAAAGTAGTTGACACACTTGTTTAAAACGGGTGCTTTTAACAAACATTTAATTCATTTATCATTTCATTCCTTTTAAACGCCGTAAATCCCCCGACCCCCCGAATCAATGTTGTCTGAAGTAAAAAAAAGACTTGAGGGTCCAAAATTCAACATTGATTTTGGGGGGAAGGGGTTGGGGTAGACAGGGGAAGGGGATAAGTATATCCACTATGCAAAAAGGGGCCATTTTACGGAAGTGTGTCAACACTTTTGTCCCTCATTGTAGACGCACTGAGAGAAGACAAGCAAAGGAAATTAATATGGTACATATGTGAGCGCTGTGTTTGTCTTGTGCCAGTCCGTCCCTTGCTCTCCGCCGCCAGCATGGCGTCATTAACTTTACCATGCCTAAAGTTTTACTTAATTATATCAATGACTATAAACTAGCAGTTTACCTTTCACAACAATTCGACACATTTCTGCCAAAGCTGAAGGAAGAATGTGATTATTTCCAAACACGTTGACACAGATAAGAGCGTCATAATCTCCTGTGTTTAACTCTAAAAACCGCTGATCGTCGATTGGAAGGCAGAACTGTGTGTAAATCCCCTTCTTTCTTGCTTCATTTGAACTATCCAGTGTGTGTTAATTGGTGTAGCCCATTTTGTGAAGCTCAAGACCTATTAAACCTGTTTCAGCTGTTACGTCGATAATTTCAATATCTTGCCTTCAGTTTTCTTTGTGAAGGTATTCAAAACCGCTGCATCAAACATAACTGTCATGGGCTTGCATAATTTGTACGCGAAATCGCACAAAATATCGCGAAAAGCAATGCTCAAAGGCAAACGTCACATTGGTCACTGGTCGAGTATATTACAGTGGAACCCGGCGGTTAATGCGGACACCCAGGGGACATGCCATAGTGTCTGTATTATCCGAGAGACACATAAGCGAGCAGCTCTGTGAGCCTGCAATGGCTTCAAAAGCCAGAATAACATCAGAGCAGCTAGGTTTAGTATTCCGCTTCAAAGAGCTCAGTACACTAGTCCTAGGCACCACAAACATTCCCTTCTAAAGCTTTCTGTCATTTCTTCGTTGTGTTCGAAAGTAGGTGGTGGTTAACTAGAAAGCTTTTTATCCTATGACCACCACACACATATTATAACCCGTGCTGTAATTATTTTATTTTTGTAATCATCTATTGTAATTATATTTTCCTTTCTATGTTATTCTCTGTAAATACTGTGAAATAAATGAACCATTGAACCACTGTTCGTCAGACTCGTACCCAGCCGCTATTTATATGTGTTTTGGCCGGGGGTGAGAGAAGATGACAATCTGACTTTGGGGTATCCATGCATTCTAGTCACAACCGTGAGAGAAGATCGGGGCTAGGTTGAGATGCGCTTGGACTCATGGGAAGGAACGAAGAGAAAATATGGGTGTTCGTATCAAGCGGGCTGTCAGCAAAAAAAGCGTAATGGACACATGTTTCATCGACCTAAAGACTTACAATAAGCAGATATCATCCTAAATTAAAAAAAACCTCACGATCATTTATCATAGTGTCAGCGGACTAAAACTACCTTTCAATCAAGTGTCTTGAAATAAACCAAAGGAATCCTTGACTTTACTTGGTACTGATGCTGTTAGTTTACTACTCAGCCAGTTGGGCTGAACATTTTTTAGATAAAACGTTTGAAAGGTCATTCGCTGTTTCTGAGATGCTTTACTGGTCCGATATACAGTCAAAGACAGCGCACAGATAAATAGGTTGACGGTATACGAGAGTCTGCGATTCGGGACACAGAAAAGTGTCCATCAAGTTTTCTGTATTAACCGGTGTCCGTATTAAGTAGGTTAATTTTATACAAAAAAATGTACTTTTCGTCGGCACAAACGAAACCGTTGTCCGTTATATACTGGTGTCAGTATTAAGCGGGTATCTGTAGAGAGGGGTTTCACTCCCGGGGGGGGTACTGCCATATATGGGCTGTATGGGTATGTGCCGCTGTGAAGGGTATGGTTTTCAAGCAGTTTACTCTAGGATAGGGTATATAAATCAGAGCGTTTGGGTCTAGAATAGGGTATCATTATTCGGGAAACTGATCAGTTGGTTGAAGATTTTATCTAGACTGGGGAAACAGCTACTCTAGGATAGGGGGATTTGGGAGTTTACTCTAGTATAGGGTAGCAAAATTCAGCTGAACTTCGCTCTGGTATAGGTCAAGGGTTCAAGGGTTCCAGCGGCACATCCCCACCCAGAAGTTTCTAAAGTGCCCCCCCGGGGTTTCACTGTAAACTTTCACAAGAGGAGAACCACGAAATGTTGGACCTAATTGGCATCAATTTATATTTAGGAACCGATCGTTTATTACGTCCCAGAGGGGGGGCGGGGGTTTTCAAAAAAGTGTGGTGTTACAAAACTTTACCCCCAAAAAAAAAAAAAAAAATTACATATGGAAATTGTACCCCTTGGTAATAACAATTTTAGAATGCAGCCCCTCCCCCCCAGCCCAGCTCCCCAGGGTGCACGCAGGGGAAGAAAAGTTAGCACGACGAAGGGGGAACCTGGGGGAGTCTGGAGAAATGCTCCCCCAGAAACTTTTTTACAAATTTAGGGTCTCGGAAATGCCATCTCCTGCGTTTTCTGCCGGACATTCTTAGTAAATAAAGACGAAGGAAAATGCAGTGATTAGTTGTTTATTTTACCCATCTCTAGAGTTATCGGTAAGGTACAGTGTTTACGGCAAAAAAAGGGTAAAACAGTGACGCAATAAAGAAGGTTACAAGCAAAGGGTGAGATGTGTACCCTTCAGACAGGCAAACTCAGTTATGCCATCAATATCATTTACGTCTTTGTGCTCATTTGCGGAATTGCAAGAGAGCTCAATCTCTCGTCTGTCATGGTCCTTCGTAAAGGAGTTTGCAGTCTCTTCATACTGCTGAAGCTACGCTCAGCTGTCAGTACGTTGACACGGGATAAGTCAACAAAGTTATGAGAGACGTGACGTATACTCCGGAATAGAATTGGAGTTGGCTTTGTCAAAAGTCTCAACCCAGGTCTGTGGCTTCACATTCGGATCCATTTCACTCTACTTAATTAGTAGAAGGATAAAGGAAATCCTAACACAAAAACGCCAATATAATGCGAAATATTTATCCCGATTTAATGAAAAAAAAATGCTTTCACGAAATAAAAAAAAATCTGAAAAATCTATTTATATTTTTCCCAGATTTCGGCTGTATGCATAGACGTATGTACGTACATGCACCTTCATTCCTGGTAGGAGAAAGAGCTGATAGGTTCCTGGGCTAAGCTTTATACGGTAACATTTTGTTGCTGACAAAGAACCGCCAAAGTGTATTTTTTTTGTCTACTTTTAAAGGAAACATGGATTTGCTTCAATCATAATATAGTTTGACGGCTTTTACATAGAAGGCCAGTCCTGTGTCTTAATATTTCGACCCCCCTCACATTCTGTGCATTTTCAAAATTGACCCCCCAAAATCAAGCCTCTTAGACAATTGTATCAAGCCTCTTAGACAATTGTACCCCGCCTCTGACCCCCCCGAGACGTAATAAACGATGGGTCCCTTAAACGTATTTCGTACATACCTTAACATAGTCAATTGCCCAGTCTTCATACATGAGTCTAAACTCGGTTCTTTTGTTCCTGGAATTCCACCCTTTCAAAGGTGATATAATCGATTTCCGAAACAAGAAAGTCAAGTCAACTTAATTTAGGCAGAGCCATATCAGCCACTGGCTGGTATTAAAAGGGGCCCTGACATCATGGTAAAAATTAAAAAATCAAAACTTACTTAAAAATCATGTACAAGGATTTTAAAAAATGAAAAAAGGGAAAAATACATTTCTTAAGTTACCTTGGTATAATAATGAGGAGAACTGATGGCTAAAATGAAGTCCAAGTTCTAAAAAATGGAAAGTGATGTACTGGCTTCTTTTATTGCAACCTCGTTCCCAGGGTTCTCTCCTACCTGTCCGTATGGAGCCAAGGGTGGGAGAGAGAACCTAGGAATGAGGTTGCTTTTACTGATAATTATTAAAAAGAACTGCACCAGAATATCTAAATAAAGTAGCAATTGGCTTACACCCCCATATATAAACTGGCTTGTGAACAGACGCACTTGTGTGAGTTAAGCGTGGAAAAATGAGCCTCATGTACGTGGGCTGTTGATTTTTGAATTTCCCAACTTTAGGGTGTCAAGATACCAGCCAATAGGAGCAAAGCAGGTGAGCAAAATTTTCCCCGAACTCACACAAGAGAGCCTGCTCGCAGGCTTTATACTGATAATTTTTTTGGATTAGATCTTCGAAGTGTAGAATTTCAACAACAAAGAAACATAGAAAGAAAAAAATCCTGGTAACTTAAATGGTTAAAAAGGTAAAAAGTTTGTTTATGTTGGAAAGAACACTTAACTTTGTCCAGCTAGTTTACAGGCATCCCACTTAAATGATTTAATTAGTCAGTCCCCATTTTTTATGATAATATTAATTGTTGATCATTCATGTGGGACACTCATTCAGTGAAAGAGAAATAACTATTTAGGGGGTATTGGTACGAAGGCTGGGGGGTTAGGGGCTACTCGACAATAATTCATACAGGGTCTGCCCCAAGGTTCAATCCTGAGCCTTTTATATAACATTTTTGATGGAAAAAGTACCTCTTTTATGTACCTTCCATAAATGAAAAATGTTGTCTCTTGCACAAACTTACTAACAGAAAGTATTCCTGTTCTTTTATGTACTGTTTGAAGAATTAAATTGATACAAGCTACATCGGTTCAAAATATTTTAGCTTAAGATCCTTTTAAACACCTAAATAACAAATTTACCTACCCTTTCAAAGTCTGACTGAAAGTACACCCTTTGCGGCGAGCTTCTTTGACAGAACTAGGCCATCCTAGGGAGTACCCCCCTCAGGGATAAAGAGGTCCCCCTTAGCTGAAACTAATCCTAACGTTTGAACCTTGCAGCATGGTCAAACCACAATGACTTTCAAAATTTTGCTCAATGCTCAGAACGGATTAAAGATTTGATATCCCTCACAATACTGGACAACAAATTTAAAATTTTCCAGGGCAGGAGAGCTTGCCCCAGTCTCCCTTGCAACAGTTTCTGTCTTGTCACACAATAGTCCTTCCAAAAAAGAAGGAGGAAGAAGCAGTGTGTGATGAGACAAAAACGGTTATAGCTTGCCCTTGTCCTCTCTAGATGATTCACTTTTAGCCATAGTTTTTATTTGAATCCCTTTTAAAATAAATCCAAGATCTGTCCCAGAAGGGGCAAGTGGTGAAACTGATCCACGATCGACAGCAAGTTGATCAGTTCCTTGCTCTGTTTACTGGGGCAAAACAGTGAGATCTGGGGACTAGATTACAGGATACCCTCAGTGAGATCTGGGGACTAAATTACAGGGTATCCTCAGTGAGATCTGGGGACTAGATTACAGGGTGGCCTCCATGAGATCTGGATACTAGATTACAGGGTAGCCTTAGCCTGCTAGCAAGCTCTCCAGAGAAGTTCTGACGAGAGCAAAAGAGGAGGGAAACCTTAAAGTCATGTCTCAAGGATGTAAATTCCACCTCCAGGGCCCCATGCAGCTTCCTGACAACTGAGCTGTCGAATTTTGGCCAATCAGTGTGGAGCTGAGATAAATTTCCCATGGACAAACTATTAGCCCTGAAAGTATGGCCACTGAAAAAAACGATGAAACACTAGAATCATTGAAATCTTGCATTCGTAGTCAGGTTGCCTTGGGAGCTAAAGCAGAGAAGAATATTGAAAAAGGGGCAAACTGTCACTTATGCCGACCCAAGCACTCACCATTGAAACAATTATTGTGCATTCTTTGTGGTGAACTTTGAACTATGAGTAGGCCTACGAGTATTGCTCCTCCAAGAATGCAAGCTCTCCTTCCACCTGGTTAGCTCAGTTGGGAGAGCACCAGTCTGCAGCTGAGTGGGAGGTCGCAGGTTCAAACCCCAGCCAGACCAACACTCAGGGTCCTAAATAACTGAAAAGAAAGCGCTGCCTTTGTAATGACATCTGCAAGCGGTTAGACTCTCTAAGTCTTTTCGGATAAAGACAAAAAAACGTATGTCCCATCACACAGCACTTACACTTGTCTGGTTCTTGTGGGATGTAAAAAGACCCACCTCACTGTTTGAAAAGAGTAGGGGATGTAGACCCTGGTGGTGTGGCCAACCTTCACACATTACATCATTCACCTCGTGGGTTGGGTGGGTACAGTAAGCTCATAAACAGACTGAGGGCAGCTGCCAGTGGCACCTTTGTATGCTGACGTTGGTGTGAGCTTACTGTTCAGATGTTAATATATACTGTAAGAGGGCACATCTGTTGTTCTCTCATCCATGACTCCTTCCTTCCCCTCTTTCCTCCCCTACCTGCACCCCTGTACTCCTGGGAGAGCTTGTTCGCAGGCTAGGGTAGCCTTAATGTCATTATTACAATGATAACAATGAACTTTAGACTGCAAATAAAATGTGCCTATAACAAACATAGTCAGGAAAGAATGCAAATATCGGTTGTTTTAATATTGTCAATATAAGACAAGGAGATCAAGGTTTGTCACTTGGCTAAATACATCACACAAATGGTTCTAAGAATCAAACATGGAGGAACGATTCCCGGCTATCAAGGTCGTTTGGTGAATATAAACTCGCGCAGTTTCACCGCTGGTTTGGTCTCAGCAACTGAGACAATTATTCTCTCTTAAATGTGGATATCTTGATATTCTATTTTAAGGTAACGCATAAACTTACCTAGCCTCATTTAGTTTCATTTCATAGTCCATTGGCGCTTCTTCTCAGTAGCTCAGGAAGCTTCAGGAGGTCTCAACAAAAACATAGGTGCTAAGAGATGGGTCTGGTGATAGGGAACTATTCCTATACTTTTCCATGTGCAGTAAATATTATACATCTTCTAGCTGTGCCTACGCAGCCGTTGTTTGTGAAAATCATCACGCAACGCTGCTCTAGTGACGACAAGTTGACTTGCGTGACACTTACGTCAGAAAGGGAGCTTTGTGCAATTGTGGTCTTGCACATCCCTACCTATCCCTTGTAATTTTAAAAATTGCGGGCTTCAAAACAAATATCCTGTATAACAGGCGATATTTTTTCGCGTTGTTTTAGGTGAGGGAGTTTAGCCTGTGTCGGGTGGGTGTACGCTACGCACTCCCTCCCCCAGTGCTTTTGTTTTCGCGCATCCTGTATTGCATTACTTTGTAATCAATTCGAGAAAAAGGTTTATAAAATAACTAAGCTAGAACCCGCGTTCTGATTGGTTAAAAACCTATGGTTTAATGTGCCGATAAACTCATAGAAAACTTAAAGTTATTTTATAAAAGCAATAGACTGACACTTTCCATGGGTTTACCGGCGTGATGAACCACTTGCGAAGGTTGCGAGAATAAATCACTCGCCTTCCCCTCGCGATTTACTAGCCTTTCTCGTGTTCTCCCAACATCCCGTGTGGGTTATCAAGCCGGTAAACCAATAGAAAGTGTGGTCTATCGCTTAAATAAATCAGCTGTGTCGATAAACCAACCTCGTTCCCAGGTTCTCTCTCCTACCCATCTCTCGCTCCCTAGGGACGGGTAGGAGAGAACCCCAAGAACGTGGTTGTCGATAAACATGCATTATACATAACTGCGGCTGTGATCAGAGACCGGTTTCCCTCCAGTTATCATTCTGAACATTTGGATAAATGAGATGGAACAGAACGTCAAGTAAGTTATTTATTCAGGTTATTGAAATATTGGCCCAGTATAACAGCCAGCTTGTAAGTTGTAATGTACATTTCTCTATTTGGCGCGTGCCCCGGCGCGTGCCCTTGTGGCAGCTTATAGTCATTTTGGTCCTGATTAACCATGTAGTAAGTAATATATAAACAAACGACATACCGTCGCGCTCAGCTTGTTTTCTTTTCATCTGCACATAAACGGGTAAAAACTGTCTGCTTTGAAGAGTTGTAGTTTATTTATCTTCCATTTTTTATTTTAAGAATTTTCGTGACCTACTCAAGCAGTTTGATTCTCGCAAGGACGTTGATCGATTCCCCAATCTAGTTAATTACAGTCGAACCTCGCTATTTCGAACTCGGTTAATTCGAAGTCCCCGCTATTTCGAAGGAGGATCGAATGCCCTTGCATTTACCCTTCCCCTTTACGCTTCCCCGGTTATTTCGAAGCCCCGCTATTTCGAACTTTTTTTCATTTCCCTTGGGACTTCGAAATAGCGGGGTTCGACTGTATTTCATGACTGTATGTTTCACATATCAATGAATAAAAGTATTTTGAATTCGGCACGCAAAGTAGCCATACGTCAAGATTGCTTGAAGACGAGTAAACTTACTGTGTCCTATAATTTTTGCATGACGTCGATATTTCGGTTGACTGTCGTTCCTTTTATTGACTTTTTTTCTTTAGCGTTTTGTAAAGCCATGTTATAATTTACTTCCCTCAGAGATGCACTCTTTCTTAAGAGGCGTGAGTCAGTTGATTTGGTTAGTAAAAGAATCGTACTTTTCATTGATTTTATTATTATTTTTTTAACAATATGTGTAGGGGTTTGATTGGCACTGTCCGTTTAGATATCAGGAAGCGCACGTTTATTAGACGTTTTGGCTCAATAATATCTGAACACTTCACTGTCGATCACTGTACACTTTAATGCAAA